GCACTGTGTCACCAGGAAGGACTTCTCTGACCCCCTCACAACATGGCGGCCCCCACTTGCCCTTCAGCCCCTGGCTGCCTCCTTGTTCTCTGGAGCACCTGCCTCCAGCTGCACACTCTGCGTTCTCTTTGTGGATTCTCTGTCCCCACTATTACAAAACTCTGTTTTGTTCACCATGGCTTCCAGCTCCCAGAGCAGGGTCTGGCACCTGGTAAAGGCCTCTGTAGATACTTGTCGAAGAGATGGATGGAGCTCCACCCCACAGACAGGCAGTTGAGACTTGGCTTTGTCACAAGGGCAGTCAGGAGCACAGCTGGGACTGGAAGCCAGGGCTATTTGGACCCTGAAGTCCTTGTCCCGAGCCCCTGGAGAAGGCAGGAGACATGGGATCCTGAGCACAGATGCAAGGAGGACCCCTCCAAGGGGAAAAGGGACTAAGGGGAAGATGGAGCCAAGACAGGCAGGGCCTTGGACTCCAGCTTTGCTGAGTGGATGGTGAAGTCGTCTGTAGGCCACTGGCTTCTCTTTTCTTTGAGAAGTGGGTGGAAGTTCCTTCTCCTGAGAGAGGGAAGCTGGCCGAGGGGTCTGCAGGACCTCACCATCTGTCCGCAGGGCACGGACATCCCGGCAACCTCAGAGCCAGGCTGGCAGCCTACCCTTTCCTGTCTCATCTTGCCCCAGCCTGGCAGGCCGGGGTCACTGAAGGCGACCAAGAACGGAGAGGCTTTTTCTCTCTTTGGCAAGGCAGGATCTGACTGTGAGGTCCCCATCCATGGGAGGAGGGCTGCTGGCCCCTTCCCCACCCTCATTTTGATCAGCTCCCTCATGACCAGACATCAATTCCATGTTTTTAAAAATTTTTGTTTTTAATTCAATTTGCCTTTGTTCTCCAGTGGGAGATTAATGTATGCTCATCATAGAAAATGTAGGGAAAAAAAAAAAAAGTGTGATGGGAAAAGCAGTTGCTTTGCTAATGTGGTATTGCTGTGGCTCCTTCTGGCCGGGACCCCGGCTCGGCAGGGGCCGCAGACCCTCTGGCCGGTGTGACCCTGCTGGCAGACGCGGGTCTACAGCAGTCCCCCCGTGGGTGTCGGGAGGAGCCGTGGGGCCACAGGCTTGTGCAAATGATGCAGAACACGGAACTGACGAGAGTGGCTGTTTAATTTTGTCATCTGCGTCACCAGTGACCACACGGCAGCGTCTACATGGGCAGTGCAGTGGCTGGGGGTGGCCTCGCAGGATGCTTCGAGAATCACTTTCCACAAGAGAAGGGACTGAGGAGGGGAAGGAGAGAGAGCAACAGAAAGTGAGGTCGTAAGTAGAAACCCGCTTCTGGGATCTCGAAGCCTCCGTCACGGGGCCCCCCTGGCTGCCAGGAAATCAGTTGATCTGGGAAAGTTCGTTGCAAACCCTTTGCTCTGCTGCTTTTGGGTGGAGCCGAGAAATGGAGATAATGAGGCTTTATGACTTTTCTTTTTCAGAGTAGGAGTGGGCCGCGTGGGTGGGAGGGTGATCGTGGATACGGCCACCAGTTCTGACACCAGCCTCGCCCTCTAGAAGGGCTAGGGAACTGGCCGGCGTGTCCCAGTCCAGGCCGCCATCCGGAAGCGCCGGCCTCCTGGACTGGACCGGGCCTTCTCAGACAGGGGCGTCTGCCGAAGGGAAGAAAGGTTTTTTGAGTTTGCTCTACTGACCAACTGATTATGATCATAAGCAGAAGGCACTTCCCCGTTGATCATAATGAGAAAGTGATAAGCTGATGGACTTGATAAACCCCAGTGACACACGATGGAGGCCCTTGTCTTCCTGGGTCCTGAGCAGTTCAGGGGGCCAGCCTCGGAGAACCCCCAGGTGACTCAGGTGTTTCTGACACCTCATCTGAGCGGCAAACAAAGGTGTTTGGTGCCGAGTTCACAGGAAACTCGAGTGTCTCACTTCTCACTTGAGCCCCCGCCCCTCTTCCAGTGAAACCTCCCAGGCCTGGGGTTCCCGGGGGCGCCAAAGGGCTCTCTGCCCCGGGCCCCACAACCAGCATCTCCCCTCCCACTCACCAAGCACTCTGTCTCTTCCTGACCCCCTTTCTCTCCGAGGCCCGTTCAAGGGTCACCTCTGTGCATGAAAAAAGCAAGAGAGAAGCTGGTAGAGAAAACTCCCAGCAAATACTTCCGGGGGTCCGTCCCCGGCTGCTAATGCTCTCAGCCACTATGGCCGACACAGACCTTTTTGTTCTCTTTCTGCTTTTTCTTTCTCTCTCATCCCTGGCTGGACTCACCTCCCTGTCACCACCAGCGGTGGCTTAGTTCTGTGGCTCTGTGTGGAGTCCGTCTTCCCTGGAAGGCCCTGAATCCCCTCCAACTCACTGCACACCGCCCATGTCCCCTGTCTGGGGGACAGTCTCAGAGATGCAGACAGGGAGCTGTGGGTAGCCTTGGATGTGGCACACTGCGGACCCCTAGTGGTGGGGCCAGTGGCCCTGTGCTGGCAGCCGCAGGGCCATCCCGACTGGGTAGCCTGGAGTACAGCCTTGGGAAACTCTAAGGGACCCTCCCACACACAGGCACAATTCCAGCCTCTGTTCTTGGGAGATGCACATGGAATGTCACCAGAAGACTTTCCATCTTCCTTTTAGGGAGACAGGCCAACGCCGTGGTTGGGCAGAGAAGACACGGATCAAAAGCGATGCTACCAGCAGATAGATCGCTAAGTTCTGAATAAAAAAAATCAATCTTCCATAAATATCCTACTGGCCTAAAATCCTCGAATCTGGATGGAGGGGGTAGTAGAGACCTTGCCTCCCTCCGACCCTCATCCCTGACTTTGCAACCTCCCTGCCCTCCCGGGTCGAGCATCCTTCTCCAGACCCTCCATCATTTAAAGACACCTTTCTGGTGCTCGGCCTTGAGTGCATGTGGTGTCTTGGTTGTCACCAGCCAAGAAGGCTGGTCCAGTGCAGGCCATAGGCTGTCCTCAGCAAGGGTGGTGGGACTGAACAGGTTCTGAGACCCCTTGGGATCACAGAGACCAGTGCAGTCCCTGCTCTGCATGGCCCGTGGGACACTCAGCCCCCCTGCCCCCTCCCCAGGTCTTCCTTCCCCGGGCCAAGCATCCCTAGTATCCTGGACCATCGACTGTGGCTTCTTTCCTTACCTCTGCCTGAGTGCAAGTGTAGGGTCCACTCCATTGCAGTTTGTTGCGGTCATCCACTCCCTGGACAGGTCTTGCTATGGCCTCTGTTGCCTGCAGCAGCTCTCACCACTCCTGGGTGGCTGCCTCCACTGACTTCTGAGCATTGCTGTAGGTGTCCCCACAGGGCTCTGGGCTCCCCAGGGAGGGCACCTGCCTGCCACTCAGTGTTTGAGACTGGTCTCCGATGACCTACTAACCACTGCAAAGGTGTCTGTTCTTCTGGGGCAGCCTCTGCTCTGGGTACCTCCCAAAGATTCACAGCAGAAACCACTGCTGACGGGCACGACTGTTAGCTGTGGCTTGCTGAGGCTTGCTGCTTCTGGCACTCCAGCTGCTGGCCTGGGCCGAGGGAGAAGGAAAAAGACCTTGAGACAGTGAGCCATCTGACCAGGGCCCCATGGCCCTGGCTCTCCACTTCAGTTGTATCACAGTCCAGGGCCATAAGGCAGTTGGTGCATCTTCGTTCACAGAGGTGGCGAGTGTGCCCTCTCAGACAATGAGACCTGTTTAGAAATTGACTGAGCTGTCCCTAGAAAGTAGATAGTGAGCTCCCCATCAGGGGAGATGCCCAAACAGGTTGATGACAATATTATAAAAGTGGTGCATTCAGGCCAGATGACACTTGGACAGAGGGAGGCAAGATTGTTAAATGTATGGGCTTTGGAGTTGGAGTGAGTTTTGAGTTTAAAGGCCTGACTTTACTCCTTGTGCGACCTTGGGCAAGCCACCTTAACTTCTCTGAGCCTCAGAGAGGTTCTGAGGGAGACACCAGAGGGCGTGTGACTCATAAAAGAGCTGTGAGGGAGACACCAGAGCCTGGCCAGTCAGCAAGGGCTGTGATCATGAGATGACTTCTGAGGTCTGTCTGCTCCAGACACCCTCCTTGAACCCTGGCAACCTAGCCTGAGTGCCCTCCCTGTCTCTGCTGGCAGGACGTTGGAGATTTCCTCCAGGGTGGGACCCCTCCCCCAGTGGCTTGCTTACTTTTTTTCAGCCCAGGTCTTGTCCCTGGCTCCCATCCCTGGCTCCCACCCCCTACCCCATCCTAGACCCCTCCTCCAACTGACTGGCCTATGCAAGAGCTCCACAGAGTCTTGAGAGCACAGGCCAGCCTTCTTGAAGGCCAAAACATAAGGCAAACACCATCAGATCTTTTGTCATCTTTATTTCTGGCTTCCAGTTTGACAAAGCCAATGAAAACACATATCCAATGACCCCTCCTCTCAATTCATGCATACTATGTACAGTGTTCTAGGCTGTTCTTCTATATATTATTAACTCTGATAACATATTTTAATATTTAACTTTAAATACAAGGAAAAACAATAAATTACTTCTTGGCTGAGGGCCGACCGTGAGTAGACAAGAGCCTCGGCCTCAGGGCTCCAGTGAGGTAGCAGGATTCCGTGCACAGTACTTATTTCCGGGACTCACACCGGCCGCTTTAGTGCTGGAGCCCGAGTCCCCATGCCCTCGGCTCCAAGTTCTGGCAGCAACAGTCCCTCCCTATCCCCGGTACAGACAAATACATTAATTTAAATAACACACAGTAATAAATAAGGCTAAGAAGACTTATGCCTGAGATGCTCTCTGCCTCAGTTGCCCTTGTGTAAAGCAGGTTCCTCTTCAACCACGTGTCTGGCAAGAGTGGCACCCACTGTAATGCTACAATTTGCTCTGAGGAAAGAGAGGTCTGTGGGGCAATTTTTTCACCCTTGTCCCCCAAGCTAGGAGCCCCAGATGGAGGAGGCCGAGCCCCGAGCACCAAGGCAAGGGGCTGCTGAGGCCAGCTGGGCTGAAGGCAGGCAGCACAAGCAGAAGTCTAAGCTAAGGTCATACCCACTTCCCTCACCCTCCTCCCCATTTCCAGTTTGACATAGCCAATAATTCTGCTAGTTTTTCATGCTTCAGTTGAATTCAATTCAATTTTCCATGGCGAACAATTTTCCTCAGATGTTGGAGCAGGTCTTTGACAAACCGGGTCACCTCAACTTTGGTGTCTCTGATGGGCTGGCTGGAAACCTGCTGTAGGACAAAGAGGCCGGCACGTTAGTGAGACAATGCCAGAGCCAGGATGGCCAGCTTCCACCCGGGGCTTCCCAGGGACCGGCCTGTTGCATCCTCACAGAAGCCCCCATTAGGCAGGTACTGTTATTACCCTCATTTTACAGATGTGGCAACTGAAGCGCAGGTGGGAGTCAGGCCCCCTTGAGCCCAGGTTCTGAAATCCCAAAGGCCACGTTCCTGCTGCCACAGTGGACGCCCCCTGGTGGGGGGACACTTGGCCAGCTTCCCCTGGAGCTGGCAGGAGGGGTGCAGGGTGGGGGTGCGGGGCAGGGAGCTTACCCTAGATGAGGGCTTGGGAGAGCAGAGTGTGCTCAGCATCCTCTGGGTCCTTTGGATGGCATGGCAGTCAGAGACGTTGGTCAGGAATTCCAGGGCTGCACAGTACTGCAGGGGACAGAACGCTGCGTGTCAGGCCCTGCTGGGCACCCCCAGTGTGTTTAGAGGAGGAGGGAGACTGAGGCCTGCAGGTGGTGGGTCTGGGTGGTGACGTGGGGCCCAGATGATGAGGGGAGAGAGAGAAGCTCTCGAAGCTTGCTTGGGACCTGCAGCCCTGTGAGCAGGGCTCAGAGAAGACACGCCTAGCCACCTTCATCCCAGCACCCAAGTTGTCCTTACCGGGTTAGCTGTCAGGTTGACGTTCCACACCATGCTGCCATTGCAGAGGGGTCCCTGGTGAGCAAAAAGCCAGTGAGCTGAATGCTGGCAGGGGTCCCAGGCTTGCCCCAGTCAGCCCAGGCCAGGTCTCTGTGGGGATCAGGCCCACAAGCATCCCTGGCACAACATTGAGGGAGGCCCTGCCTCCTCAATGTTACTGAGCCTCATTTCCTGTTCTGCACAGTGGGGGAGACCCACTGTCCAAGGATCTCTGAGCCAAGAGAGGAAATGAAATGACACAATCAGTAAGGGTCAAGCCTTGTACGAAGTTTGCCATGGCTAGGGTAGGACAAAAGACACCAGGCCTGTCAAAAGGGGGCCTGTAGGGAAGGGCCAGGACAGGGTCAGTGAGGGAGAGGGTGGCCAGGACAAGCAGATACGAGGCGGTGCCATCTAGCGTTTAAACACCCTGCCTTCTGAACTGGGGAGCACTGAAGTTCGAATAGGCACTCTGGTGTTAGCCAGGCCTGGTTTGACTCCTGCTTTTGTGAATTAGCTTCACTGAGGCTTAGTCAGTAAAACAGGGTCATTGTACCTGCCTCTTGAGGTGGTCGGCAGTGAAGAAATGACATGCAAAGGGCCAAGCCCAGCACATAATCAGTGCTCAGAAAGTGTGAGCTGTCACCACTAGGGAGAGGTGAACCAGTCTGTAAGAACGGGCTTAACCACGATGCCGTAAATAATGGCCCTATTATTGCCTTTGAATCCTGCTGGCAGGTGCCAAAATGGTTCTGAGATGGTACTGGCCTCCTCCACTTTCCTCTATTTAGAAATGGCTGAGAAATTGCTCTGTTCAGGGCCAGGCTGGGGAGTAGGTGGGACCTAGGGCTCTGCCACGTCCTTTCATGGGGGCATCCATATTGTCGCACCCCCAGCCTGAGTCCTCTCTCCCCTTGATGGCCAGGCCTGTCCCCTGGTCCACAGGGCTTCTTCCTGACCCACAGGCATCTTAGCAGCAGGCCTGGCCTTCACAGCCCAGACCATGACCAGTACCCTTCCCCGGAGTCACCCACCCAGCACCCTCAGAGCTGGGACCCTGGCCAGTGGGCACTCACCTTCTGGGTGATGTTATTCAGCTCCTTAATGAGCTCCCTGAGAGCCGTGAAGGGAGAAGGCACAGGGCCTGGGGAGGCGAAACCACCAAAGCAGGTGAGAGTGACGACCAAGGTCAACCAGAGCGCCATGGAGCCCAGAGCCCAAATGAGAGGAGCCAGGAGCAGTCACGAAGGCTGGCTTAAGCTGAATGGCTTGTGGCCTTGGTCTCTTGTGGCAGCTTTTATAGGCCCAAGTGGTGACGCTCTCATTCTGGTCCCCGCTTTGGCGGGCACTATCTAGAAACCACATCTTTACTCTTCTTGATTTTACTTTGTGGAAAATCCAGCGTCACATAAAGGAAAAGTTTGATTTCTTGTGGACTTAGTATCTAGAGGGATCTGGGGGCAGTTTCCAAGGTCTGGATGAACTTACTCAGGGGTAGTGAGAGGGCCTTGAGGGGAACCTGGTGTCAGCCATGCCAGCTCGAACTCCAGCAGTCTTGCTTGGTGACCAACCCTGAGTGCCCGCCCGGGGTCTGTCCTCAGACCTATTTGGGTCACTATATGTGCTTGGGCAGACAGTGTTACGACCCTAGTCCACCAGGTATGGGAACTGGGGGATTTTATTTATTCAGTGAACTGGTCTCTTGCATTACCAAAGTATTACTTGCTTTGGATACAAAATACAAACGGAAAAAGGAGCAGAGTGAAGTTCACTTCTTTTGGTTCACCTGGTTCCCCAATAGCCCCAATGTAGGAAGGATTCTAAAAGTTCAGATTCTCAGGTCTCCACTGAAAGATCCAGTCAGATTCGAGGATCCTCCTGGGACCTTTAGTTTTTAAGGCTGCTTTGATGATAACTAAGCACAGGCAGCTGGGACCCTGGGAACTTCCCCAGGCCTTGGGCGTGGACCTGTCCTGCTGGGACCCCCTTCAAGTGCCAGTTCTGTGGGAGGTAGCTGAGCCTTAACCCAGTTCAGAGAGTGTGACTGTTCCCAGTGTCACTGAGACCTGGGGGACCATGTTTGCCCATCAGTCTTCGTGGGACCAACCCCTGCCCTCAAGTTTCCCTTCTGCAGAATGAGGGCCTGCTGAGTCCCCCATGAGCAGCCCACCCTCTGCAGGGACTCTGGCAGGTAACCATTTTCCTGCTCTTCCCTCATTTCTCTAGAAGTCCTCCAGAAACCTCCACGACAGAGGCGGCAGCATTTGCGTGTTGGGTGCTGATGTCACGCTGTCTCCCTCTCTGCTTCCTCCCCTAGCCCTAAGCTACCTGCCCTTCCGGCCCCGCTCGCCACCCCTCACTTAGGCTCCTCTGTCACCCTCTATGGAGCTCAACCTCCAAAAAGGGTCTTCCAAGAGGTGCTGGAGCTGTCCCTTTTTCTCAGAAGCCTCATAGCCTTTGGACTCTTTCTTCCCACCCATAACATAACCCCCCACTTCTCTTCTGTCCAAACCCCAAGCTTTCCACCCAATTGCCGGCCCTGATTGCGGAAGCCTGCGCCGCGTGGCCTCTCTGTGTCTGGCCTGCTGCCGCTTTGTGGGCCTCAGTATCCTCGTCTGTAGAATAGGCCCAGTGGCATCTCATGTGGGGTCTCTGTGATGGGGAAAGGAGTGGGGAACCACCATGGGCTGCGCAAGTCCCAGAGCCCTGCGCTAGGATGAGTCAACGCCTCCCCACTCCCCAGGACAAGCAAAACCCAGGCGGGGAGCTGTGGGAGGGGCGCCCCCGCGCGTAGGAGAAGGCGCCCGGCCCGGCGGTCGCGGCGATGCCCCGCGGAGATAGGGGCGCGGCCTTATGTAACGGGAGATGGGGCCGATATGCCTGCCGGCTCGGCGCTCGGCCCTCCTCCGCGGCCTCGGGCGGTGGCCGGTGCCGGATGGAGTGCTGAGGGCGCATCCCCGCTATCGGCAAAGCTGCTCCGCGCCGGCCCCACAGGTCGAAGGCCCGGCGAGGGGGCGGTGATGGGACCGCACGCCAGGCCGCCCGGGGCCTGGCTGAGCACGCGGGCCCTATGGGCCCAGAGCGCACTGGCGGGGGCGTGGTGCAGGTTCAGCTGCCCGCACCTGGGCCGGGGTCCCCCTGGGGCCGATGACCCTGCGGGGGACGAAGCCGAGCTGCCCCGTCCCTCTTTTTGCCCTGCCACCGAGGGCGCCCGGGCCGCGCCTTCGACGGTGGCTCGAGAGACTCTGCCGGCCCTCAGCCACAGGACGAGCCCTGCCGCTCACGTCAACCTGTCTGTGCTGGTATTTCTTGATTTTCTGCGAGGCTCCATTCACCCTCCGATAATTGTAATCGACGCAAACTACAGAAAGGCTGCTCCAGCACTTGACACCTGTGGCTCGCAACTCCCCTACAGCCCGCAGCATGGACCTTCGGGTCTGGGTCTGACAGGTGCAGACCTGGCGTTCAGGAACCAGGAGGAGCCTGGCCCCCGGCGCGCCGCGCTGTCCCAAGAGGGGTGGGGTGGGGGGTGGGCACGGCTGGGTCTGCGACCGCCCTTCCTGCGGACAAACCCGCCCTGCGCAAAGTTTCAGAAAGCTTCCTTCTCCAATTTTCTCCAACTTTGGGTCCCTATTGGAAATAAAATATGTCCATTCAGTAGGAGTAGGGCTGGGGGAGTTGTTTCAATAATTTAAAATATCCAACTTATTCGATTTTTATTTGTATGGAAATTTTAAGTGCATGTAAAATTTTTACATCAAATAATTAAGGAGGTCGATAATGAAAAACAGCAGTTTTGAAAATCAGTTCTACATAGTCTCTTGCATTTCTGCACATCTTGTGAGTGAGGCACTGACTGCCTTACTTTGTTTCCTACTATCTTTGTAGGCGTAATAGCTAATGGCCTGAAGCAAAAGGCAGGCAGACCTACTGACCATTATTAAAAATTCAGGTTCTCTAAGCTCAGGCTTCATTTCCTGTAAGGCAACCCACTGAGTGTACAGGTTCTGGCTCTCTTGGCACTACTTTGTGAGGATTGGGATTCAGGGAACAAAGTAAAAAAGCTAATACTCATATTACTGATGTGAATAATAAACTGTTCTTTGTCTCAGCTCCAAGAGTCTTGTGTGTCTTCTGCTATCCTCCATGAAAACTGTGGGAAACTAACTCATTAGCATGCAAGCAGGGTAAAATCTCAGCGTTCATTGTTGACAACAGCCCCCAACTCTTAATCTCTTCTCCAGAGGAACCATGATTTTAACTGTTTCTTTCGGTATTTACCTCCTCCTCATTTCTAAAAATCTTGATTGTCAGATGTAGCCATAATGTGTGGTCTACGATGGATGTTTATTTCTCTTGAGTCCTTGCCATTCTCCCACTTTAATCCTTCCTTTTCCCCATCCTACCAGTATACAGAGATCATAATTTGGGTCAGTCAAAAGCCTTGTTTACCGTTTACATAATTATATTAATATACTCACAGCCAAAGCACTACGATTATTTTTGTTTTCTCTCAAAACTTTTTCCCTCTGGATTTAATAATTGTCTTGTTTTTCCATTTGCTTAGTTTTCTATGCTGATCTCAGTGATTTAACCCTAAATTCTTGGCCTCTTATATAATCTCTTCTCAAGAGATTTGGGTAAATAAGATTTTCTCACAATTTCATCTCCCTAAGAAAGTCTTCCCTGGAGGCTGCTGACCTGCTGTGATATGGACAGCTGCCCGTTGACCGCCCCCCCCTCCGCCCCTCTACGCAGTGGTTACCCTGATGTCTTCTGTCACCATTGCCCTGGAATTCCTTGGCCTCTGTCCTATGTGACTCTTCTGTTTTTTGTATCCCAGGTCTTCCTCTTTCTTGAGAAGACACATCCTCATAAACACAGAATTCCAGGCAAGAAATAATTTCCTTTCAGAATCTTGAATGCCTGAGCTATTGCCTCCTGTCTTCCAATATTGCTGTTTAGAAGTCGGGAAGCTTTTTTGAATCCAAAACTTTTCTCTGTCTCAGGAAATTTGTAGAAAATTTTCCTGGTTCCCATGTTCCAAATTT